TTAGGCTCCGCCCAGATTCAGATTAGACCTCGCCATCACTGGGGGGGCGCGATCTGCAAACTGTCGCCACGTTCAGCGGAGTGAGGCACCACCAGGACTCATATTGGACCTAGCCATCTTTGGGGGGCTGCGACCTGTGAAATGTTTACAAATTTCGAGGCTTGCGGGGGGGTCCGGCGGAATGAGGCACAACCCAGACTCAGATTAGATTTCGCCATCCCTGGGGGGCTGCGATCTGCGAAACTGTCGCCACTTTCGAGGGCTGCTGGTGGGGCAGCGGAGTGAGGCACCACACGGATTCAGATTCGACCTCGACACCTTTTGGGGGCTGCGATCTGCGAACTTGTCGCCAGTTTCGAGGGCTGCTGGGTGGTGCCAGCGGAGTGAGGCACCACCCAGATTCAGATTAGACCTCGCCATTCCTGGGGGGTAGCGATCTGCGAAACTGTCGCCACTTTCGAGGGCTGCTGGGGGGTTTCAGTGGAGTCGGGCACCACCCAGATTCAGAGTTGACCTCGACATCCTCGGGGGGCTGCGATCTGCGAAACTGTCGCCACTTTCAAGGGCTGCTGGTGGGTCCAGCGGAGTGAGGCACCACCCAGACTCAGATTAGACCTCGCCATCCCGGGGGGGGCGATCTGCGAAATTGTCGCCACTTTCGAGGGCTGCTGGGGGTCCCGAGGGGCGCAGTCGCGGGCCGCCCTCAGACCTGGCGGCGCGCCTTCGAGTGTTTAGCTCCCGCACTGAAAAGTGCAGAAAGGGAGCAGGGAAATTGGCGGGCGAGCTAGGCCTCGCTCGCTTCTTGCCCTATCTATTCGCAGCTTAATTGTTTTTTCGAGCGCCGCGGCGTCGCAGCGAAGGCGGCGCTGCATCTCGAGCGTACTGCCAGCAATAGCAACACTCTTCGGTCTCCTCCCACCACGTTCGTCGTCGTCCTCTGCCCCCTGCCACCTGCCCTCTGCTGCTGCCGCGCGGACGGCTTCGGCCCCCGAGCGCCCTCCTTCTGCCATGCGTTGCCGCCCCCGTGTCCTCCTCAGGCCTGGGCCCTCGCTGCCTCGTCCTCAATTGCTGTTGTCCTGTGCATTGCGCCGCGTGAACGCACCCCGTGTACACCTTAGGTGATGCTTAAGAAAACTTGAGTTTTCGGCCAGAGTCTCGATTATTCTTAACGTTTCAATGTAAATCCTAAGGTTTTGATATGAATTTTGGGTATGTATTCAAGTTCTGAGACTCTGAATTTCTTAACCCATGATTTCTTAAGCATTTCGCAAGGTGTACATGTACCAGCGCCTGCACTGTCATTGTCCTGGCGAGTTTGGGGTCAAGTCGTCTTGACACCTCATGCACATGGGTCGGGTACGTCGCGGGGTCATGTTTTTGCAGTTTCGCGTCCTCTATAATTAACAAAAAAGGATGCGGGACAGTTTTTCAACGCGGGGCTCTCGCCGGAATGGCTGGCCCAAAGGGCGTTCTGCTTTAACGAGGACGTTCCTCCAAGCCACAGGAGGCTTGTAGGTGCTCATCAGGAAGGGGTTGTCGACGGGCGGGTGTGTTGCAGCATCAATGATAGAAAAGGGATGTATTTGGTCTTCATAACTCCTCGCCTCTTTATACTTCACCTTCCTGCCCCTTCTTCTCGTCATCATCATCATCAGCAGCAGCATCAGTGCCCTCCTGCTGTTTGTGTCATCCTTTCTCGTTCCATCCCCTTCTCCCCTCCCCCATTTCGTCCTGCCCTCTCATTTCCCTCATTCCTCTCCCCCCTCCTGACGCACGCAGATGCCAACGTGAGCTGGGAGGCGTCCGTGGCACGTCGCCTCGGGCGTCCGCAAGAGACTCTGTTGCTCTCCGATGTTGCAATTGCCGTGCGCGTCCTCCGTCCTGCTCGCAGGACGGAGGAGGAGGAGGAGGAGAAGGAGGAGAGGAGGAGGAGGAGGAGAAGGAGGCGGAGGAGGAGGAGGAGGAGGAGGAGGAGGAGGAGGAGGAGGAGAGGCTGGACGAAACGAAAAGACGCCCGCAGGACGGGAGGCCCCGGGCGCGAGGTGCGCGGCGGCCGGGGGCCGCCAACGGCGTGGGGCGCGGCCCCCGGGGCCGGCCCGGGACGCCGCCGCGGGCGCTCGCGGCGAGGCCTGGCCGCCGCCGCCCTCGCTGCCAGTGCGGAGGAGAAGGAGGAGGAGGAGGAGGAGGAGGAGGAGGAGGAGGAGGGGGAGGAGGAGGAGGAGGAGGAGGAGGAGGAGGAGGAGGAGGAGCAGGAGGAGGCCAAAGTCGGAGGAAGGAGAGGCGACACCACCACCACCAGCACCACCACCACCACCACCACCACCACCACCACCACCACCAAAACCACCACCACCGGAGGGGGCCACCTGCAGCGGGGGGGTCCACGATGCGCCCCCGAGATGGGGATATGGGGGAGTCTCGGGCGAGAGGGGGGACCGACGGGCACCACCGGAGGAGGACCCTCCCCGGCTGGCGCCTAGCATGGTTCCCCTGTGCGATGGCATTGTTGTATCGTGGTGGTATGGCCCGAATGATGGAGGTTGTATCGCCACCGCGAAGTCTGCAGACGGTCTGCAGACACCCTGATGGGGACCTCGTACCTCTGCATCGGGGGTCAAGTATAGCCTTGGTCCACTGCGCCATCAGCGGGCCGCCGCGAGGGACGTGTGCGCCCAGAGCCACGCTGACGGCTCCGCTCGGGGACGTCCCAGACGGTGTCGCTCGGGCGGGGGCCGGGCAGCTGCGAGCGTCAGCAGCGGCGGGGCACCGCACGACCACTCGCGGCGGGTGCCCGCCCGCGGGGGCACGTGGACCTGGCGTGCCTCGGAGGTGGTCTTGATGCCCCACCCTCCGGTGGGCGCCCTCGACGGCGGGAGCCCCCTCCCTGCCCGCGGACCCCCTTCCTTCCGCCGCGTGCGGGGGCGGAGGTCCAGGGCGGGGGCGGGGGCCCCAGCCGCAGAGGACCTCATCGAGGATGGGCGAGCCTGGAGACCGCGCCCTCGCTGCCCTCGCGCACGTTCGCGGTGCGGTACCGGCGGAGGCGGTGGTGCCTTGAGAAGCGGGGGGGAAGCACCACTCACCAAACCACCCCGACCCAACCCGAAGGCCTCGATTTGCCCTCCACTTCCAACACATCGAACCCGCCCCCCCCCACACGAATTTCGGGCGCCAAATTCGGGTCTTCGGGTTGGCTTGGGGTGGTCTGGTAGGTAGTCAGAAAATGGGGGTGAGGTGAGGTGGGCCTCGCCCCCCGGCGTGCCCGGCCCCCACTTGCCGCGGCTGCCTGCCTGGGCTGGGCGGCCTGCCCCGCGCGGTTCGGGCAAAGGGGGGGGGGCACCTGGGACCTGGGCCGAGAGTGATGGGCCTGTTTTCCACCACCACTACCAGAAGTTGGAGGGGGAGGCTGGTCCTCCTCCTCCTCCTCCTCCTCCTCCTCCTCCTCCTCTTCGTCCTCCTCCTCCTCCTCTTCGTCCTCCTCCTCGTCCTCCACCTCCTTCCCCCCTCCAACTGATGGTGGTGGTGGAAAACAGGCCCATCAGAGAGAGGGGCCTACGCAAGGGGGACGGCTGGGCTTCCCGGCGCTCGCTGGCAGGGGCCCTGAGCCAGGGCCCCGCGAACCGCCACCAGTAAAAGGGGCATCACCGCCACTTCTCCCCCCCTTTTTGCCGCCATCGCACCGCATGAGTAGAGCTCATCAAGGATACGCCCCCGTGTGCCAACACGTATGTGTATCCTCAATCGGCCGACGCTTGTTGTCATGCGCGCTCAGGTGTTCGGCCGATGTTGGGCCTTCAGTTCCTGGGAGTGGCATGGGCCCTGAGCCAGGGCCACCCAGAACCGCCACCAGTAAAGGGGGCATCTCCGTCACCTCCCTCCCCCTTTCGCCGCCATCGCACCGATATTTTCGTTCATCGAGAATGCTTGTTCGTCACGATGCAAGAACCCACGAGGCATCACCGGTGACTTTGGTGATGAAGCAGGGGGCATCCAAGAGCAAACATCTGACCAAGACGAAGACGCAGCCGCTTCTTCGAAGTCACGGCCATGCAAGATCGACATGATTACAAGTGCGCGCGTGAAGAGGACAACCCAAGGCGGAAGAGGATGTACTCGATGAGGAGGGGGAAGTGATATGGCCGGCTGATTCTGCGTCTTTCCAGTTGCCGCAGTGGCAACCCGATCTGATTTAGCCGTTTTGACAGGTGCCAAAACAAGCGGCGCTTCGAATGCTAGCCTCGCAGGCGGCGGCAGATCCCAGGTTGGCCGACCCAGAGGCAGAGAAGGAACGGTTGAGGCAGCGCGCGGTGCCGCGGCCGTCGCACCCAGGGCAGTTCGCGTTGCAGTGCAGACGGGAAAACCTGCGGCAACGGGGACGGCGAGGGGCGTCTGCGACGCCTCCGCGGGGACTGCTGGCTCGGAACGAGAGGGGACAGGCGCAGGAGAAGACTGTGCAGCGGCACTCGATGGCGTAAGAGACGGCCCAGAACATGCCGAGGGCCGAGGAGAGTGGTGGTGTTGCTGCCTGATGTGGAGTGCCAAGGGGCAAGAAGACATAGAGGCCAGAGGACGCAGGGGTGCCCAGGGGCAAAAGGGGGGGTCCTAAGTCGTTCTCCGAACAGGGTTGCTCCTTGGGAAGCGTCGCTGGCCGCCCGTCTGCGATCTTCCGTTGACGTTTCGCTCAAGCTTTTTCCCACGGGGCATGGTGCCCCCGTGGGCGGTCGGAGCCCTCACCCAGCTGTCGCATGGCGTGGCCTCCTGGTTGAGTCGGGCACCGCCGCCGCCGCCGTGCCCGGCGTTGGAGTGTCCGGACTGCCATTGCGCCTGTCCCGCGGTCCCGCCCTGCCCGGCCTGCCCAGGGGCGCCGGCTCCCCAGTGCCCGCAGCAAGAGCGGGGGCGCGCCTCCACGGCGCCCGCAGCCCCGACGGTGGCGGCGGCCTGGGGGACGACAGTGGCGTCGCTCGTGATCGGCATCGCGCTCGGCGACGTCGGGAGGTGGAGCGATGGCTGCTGCTGCCGCCGACGCCGTGCCCGCGCTGGAAGGAGTGGACCAGGTGGCGTACCTCCTGTATGCGGTGCCGGGGGCACCCCTGTGGCACCAGCGCTGGAACTTGGGTCGGGTGGTGTCCTGTCCGAGTGACGCGATCCTGGTCTCGCCGGACCACCAGCTGCAGTGCGAGGTAGTGGACGGGACGTGGCCCGACATCAGCGCGGTGCGGTGGGCGCCCGCCCTCGCCCCCAGGCCGCCGGGTGTCGTGCGGGCCTACCGCTTCGCGAGCCCCCCGACTGCGGCGGAGGTGGCGGCCTGGCTCCCCGATGCCCAGGCCGAGGCTCGGCGCTGCTTTGCTCGGCGCCACCCGGGCGTGGCCGTGCCGGCGCCCGTCTTCGAGGCGTGGCCCTGGGCTGCGCCGGGGGCGCCGGCTGCCGCCGTCGGGCCCGCCCCTGCCGCGGGGGGCCCCGCCGCCGGGCCGCCGGGCGGAGGCTGGGTCGTTGTGCCAGCGGGGGGCCCGCCGCCCGCCGCGGCGCCCGTCGCCCCGGCACCCGCGCCCCTGCCGGGCGGGGTGTTGCGCCGAGGAGGTGCGGCCGCGGGGGCTGCGCCGGCCGCGGGCGGCGGAGAGGCGGGCGGAGCGCCGGCGCCCGCGGGAGCAGCGCTCGCGGCGGCCGTGGTCGGGGGGGCCCGACCCCTGGTGCTGGCGGGAGGCGCTGGCGACGCCGCCCCCGCCCCTGTTGGGGAACTGGCGCGTCGCCCAGGAGTGGAGGGGGTACCACTACGGCGATGTGATCACCCCTCCAGCGGGCTTCGCTGGGGCGGGCACTCCCGCCCGCGGAGTCGTCCTGCTCGCAGACGGGTCGTCTCTCTTCGTCGAGTGGGTGGCCATCGGTGACGAGTCGGACTTCGCCGACCGGGCGGTGGCGCCCGACTGTCGCCTGCTGCCGGTCCGCCTCGATCGCGCTGGCAGGCCCTTCCGGACGCTCGAGAACCTCGTCGAGAGCTGCCGCCAGGAGCACCTCCCCGACTTCATCGCGCCGAGGACGACCATGTGGTGCCTCGAGCACCTCGCGGGCGAGGGCCGCTCTCTCGAGTCCCACTTCGAGCACTTCAAGAAGCTGTGCGGCCTCCAGGACTCCCAGTGGGGCATGGAGGAGTACGCCAGTGTGATCAGCTACCTGAAGGCGTTGCTCCAGCACGATCAGGTGGACGCGTCCAACATCCTGTCGGTGGAGATGATGTTCCGCCGGCTCCAGACGATCGAGTACTGCTACAGCGACAAGTTGCGCGAGAGGACAGCGGGCTCCTCCGCGGGGAGGCTCACCGCCGACGAGCAGGCCGCCTTCGGGGCGACGGCCCGAGCCGAGTCGAGGCTCATGGTGTCGCCCGCGCTGCTCGAGAGCGCCAAGCAGGAGCTGGAGCGCGACGCCTCGCTGGCCAAGAGCCTCCTGAAGGCGCGCGAGGCTCGGGAGTCGCTGGGCAAGCGGAGGCAGGGCCAGGGGAAGGACCAGGGGTGATGCCCGACCGCCCCCCCCAGACGTCCCTCAGGTCTGGTGGGGGGGATCCTGACATGACTGGGGATGCTCGGCACGCCGTTGCGCCGCCGGGGAATTTTGACAGGAACGTGGGGAGGGATCTGCTACCTTTCCCCACGGAGCTGCTCAACTCGTCGGAGCCACCAGCACCTGGGCTCTCGCGAGTTTGCCGACAGAGAGTCGGCCGTCGGCAGCGTCGCCACGCCGACGTTCTTCGGTGCTTAGAAGGTCTCAACACGATATACGGCCGCCGTGAAGGGGTACCTGTACCTGCTGATCTGAGCCTCGGGCAGCAGCGTATGCTCGATCACGTTGAGTCTTCTGTCTCTTTCCTGGGGCCTCCCCCAGATGATCTTTCGCAGGCGGCAGCCCTCCAGGCGCTGCGCCTCGGCCTCCCCTATGACGCAGGGGGAGGCCCTGTGGGCTACGAAGCCTCCCGCGTGTCCCTCCCGGCGGCTGGGTCGGTTCCGACTCCGCTCGCTCGGCTGTGGGGATCCGGCGGGGAAAGTACTGTTGCACGCTTTGCTGAGTCGCAAGTTTTGCCCATCGACGTGGCACGAATGAGGTTAAAGGACTCGGGGCCCCTTCGACCCTATGGGGACCTTCGCCTCCACTCCCCCTCTTTGTACGGCGAATTCATTCAGCGGTTGGTCGAGGCTGGCGTAGCCGAGCTGACGCTTGAGCGACCTACCGAGGTGGTGGATTGCTTCTTTGTAAAAAAGGGGGGCGGCAAGCAGCGGCTGGTCGTCGACTGTCGGCGGTCTAATCAGCATTTCGAGCCGCCCGCCCCTGTCAGCCTAGTCTCTGGCGACACTCTCTCCCAGGTGCATGGCGACGACTCCCTCGATCAGCCCGTGTTTATTGGCCAGGTCGATATAAAAGACGCTTTCTATCACATGGAGCTCCCAGAGGGGCTCCGCCAGTACTTCGGGCTGCGAAGAATTCGGGCCTCGTGGGCGGGCATCTCTCAAGTCCAGGGAGTCCGTGTGTCCCCGGGGACCTGGGTCACCCCTCGGATGCGAGCCTTGCCCATGGGCTGGTCCTGGGCCCTCTGGTGGTGCCAGGCGATCCACGAGCGGGCTGCCGAGGAGGGAGGATCCCCTGCTGCAGCCCGCCTCGCGGACGGCTCCCCTCCGCCTCCCCTCGCCTCCTCCCCTCGCGCACAGTACGTAGACAACTATGTGGTGATTTCGACGAGCGAGGCGGTTGTTCGCGAGCGCTTGGCAGGAGTGTCCCGGGCCCTCGAGTCTCGGGGGTTGCCGCTGCATAAAGAGTCTGTCTCTTGCGATCAGGCCATCGTGCTGGGGTGGGAGATCGATTGCCTTCGGCGCATCTTCCGCCCGACCCCCGAGCGTGTCTGGAAGGCTCGACTCGCTATTCGGGGTCTTTTAGCACGGGCCTCGGTCTCTGGAGGGGACTTGGAGCGCCTTTTGGGCCATCTGTGCTTCATCGGCCTGTGTAGGCGAGAGTCGCTCAGCGTGTTCAAATACTGCTACAGGTTCTGCGAGGCCGCGCGGAGAGGCCCAGCCCGGGGGCCTCGGGCCCTCTGGGCCTCGGCCAGAAAGGAGCTCGACGTCTGGGACCGTATCGCCCCGCTCATCTGGGTCAACACCTCTGCGGGTACCTGTCCAGACGTCGTCGTGGTGGACGCGTCGCCGTGGGGCCTAGGGGCCGTTCGGGGGCGACCGCCGGTGGCCCTGGTCAAGGAGGCCTGCCGTCACTCGGAGCGTGCTGGGGCTCGGGAGGCGGCCCGGGAAGGGCGGCCTCCCCGCGAGCGCGCCTTCGCCGCGGCCGCTGCGCAGCTGCACGGGGGTGAGGGGGAGGCCGACAGGCGGATCCTGATGGAGCTCGTGCGGCCCCAGTCTCGACACCGCCGTCCCGAAAGCGAGTTCGACCGCCGGCACACGAAGTCGTTCGAGGACGTCCCCCTGGACCTCTTGAGGGCCCCCTGGAGGGTGTGCGGGAGGCAGAGGTGGAAACGGGCCTCGACGTCTATGCCGGCCCTGGAAGCGGAGGCGCTTTTGTACGGGGTGCGCCACCTCCTGAGGTCCGTCGCCAACTTGGGCTCGAGGCTGCTCGTGATTGGGGACTCGATCTCCGCCTCCCTGGCCGCCACGAAGGGACGGTCGTCTTGCGATGGCATGCTCTCGGTGACCCGCCGGCTGGGCGCCCTGCTGCTGGGGACCGGCAGCCTCCTGCGGTCGCGCTGGATCGCGTCGGAGCTCAACCCTGCGGACGGACCCTCGCGCGGCCGGCCGGCGCCGAGCGACCCGCTTGCCGGCCTGCGGCGCGAACTCGCGACCGCCGCCGGCGAGGGCCGCAATGCTGGCGCGCGGCAGGTCCGACAGATCGAGGACCCCCGCGGGCCGCCAGCCGCCGCCGCCCAGTTCGGGGTCGGCCTCCCGCCCGGCCTTGGCCCCCCTGGAGACTGGGGGCCTGCGGGCGGCCGCGGCGCGGGTGCGGGTGGAGCGCGCTGCCAGGCTGGCGGCGGCGCGGGCCCCGCAGGCCCAGATGAGCCTGCTTCGGAGGGCCTCGGTGTCGGCGAAGACGCAGGCCCAGTACTCCCTCTACCTGGCCGCCCTGCAGAGGTTCTGCGACTCCCGCGGGGACCACCCGAACACCGAGGAGGAGTGGGACATCGCCACCGCGGGCCTGATGGAGATCATGTTCATGGAGGGCGGCTCGCTGAGCGCGGGCGAGAAGCTCTTGGCGTCGGTGCAGTGGGCCGAGCCGCGCCTCGGCAGGCTGGGGGGCGGGCGGATGCCCGTCTGTCGGCAGTGTCTGCGAGGCTGGCGCCGCGCTGCCCCAGCAGGGGGCCGCTTGCCCCTGCCCTACGACGTGGTGGCGCTGCTGGCGTGCTGGATGATCTGCCAGGGGCTGAGACCCCACGCGCTGGCCATTCTCATGATGATGGAGTTGTACTTGCGGCCGGGAGAGCCATTCCTGCTACGGGGCCGCGACGTAGTGGCGGGGTCCCTCAGCGGAGCTCGCGAGTGGACCCCCACATCGGTCTTGCTCCACCCGTTCGAGATGCGGACCCCGTCCAAGAGCCAGGAGTTCGACCAGACGATCGTCCTCGACCTCGACCGGCAGGCGGCGCTCGCAGACGCCCTGGTGCAGCTGGGGCTGGAGCGCGGCGTCGGGCCCTTGCTGGATCTGACGCCCAGCGCCCTGCGCCGGGCCCTGGACGAGGCCGCGGCTGCCTGGCGCCTGGGGCCCCTCGGGCCGCTCGACGCCTACCGCTTCCGGCACACGGGGGCGAGCGTCGACTTCGCGACCGGCGCCCGACGTCTGGAGGAGATCCAGCGCCGCGGGCGGTGGCGGTCCGCGCGGAGCCTCCGCCGCTACGAGCACGGGGGGCGACTGGCCGACCTCTTGCGCCGCCTGCCGCCCGACGTGCAGCGGGCGGCCGCGGCGGCCGCTCAGGAGCTCCCCGACGCGCTGCGGGGGAGGCGGATGCCGTCTTTGGGCCGCTGAGGGCGCCGACCGTCGCCGTGTTCCTCGAGCTGTTCGCGGGCTCGGGCCACCTGTCCGAAGCCGTGGAGCGGGGAAATGTCCCCACATTGCGGTGGGACATCCTGTACGGCCCCGCCTACGACCTGCGCGACCCCAGGAGCGCCCGTCTCATTCGAGGCTGGATACGGGCGGGGCTCGTCTGCGGCCTGCATGCTGGCTTTCCTTGCGAGACCTTCTCGCGGGCGCGAGACCGCCCCAACGGGCCTCCGCGGCTCCGGTCCCAGGAGCACGTCTGGGGCCTGCCCAGTCTCCATCCCGAGGGCGCCGATTTCCAGAAGGTGAAGTGGGGCAACCTGTACGCGCGGCTCACGATATCCTTCTGCGTGCTGTGCTGCCAGTGTTTCGTCCCCTGGTCCGTCGAGAACCCCGCGCTGAGCTACGCGCGGCAGCTGCCGCCGATGCTGTCCCTGCTCCAGCGCCGGCAGGTCACGACCCAGGTGATCGAGTACTGCCGGTTCGGGACGCCCTGGAGGAAGAGCACCAGGATTGCTGCGTTTCTCCTCGACTTGGCACCTTTGGCCAAGTTCAGATGTACAGGGCCCGTCTGTGTCCTCACTGGGCAGCGGCATCAAGAGCTGTCCGGCAAAGACGCATCGGGCAGGTTCCGCACTAGATTGGCGGAGGCATATCCTCGCAAGCTCTGCAGCACCCTCGCCAGAGCCTATGCCGACGAGAAAGCCAGGTCCCGGGCTAATCAGTTCTCCGTTTTGATAGGGCGTGCTGCTCGAACGTCTTCCGACGCTTGATTAACAATTGTTGTATTTTCGGCGTTGCCAGTCTAGCTGTGCATTTTGCAGCATTTTGGGTGTGTCCGAAATTTCAGTTGATGTCCGTGGCCGCCTACGGATCGGAGATCCGTGGCGGCAGCCTCTTGCGTCGGCAGCGTCTCGAAGCCTCGCCACCTGGCCTGCCCGAGCTGGAAAAAGGGAGCATAAGTCGTTCTCCGAACAGGGTTGCTCCTTGGGAAGCGTCGCTGGCCGCCCGTCTGCGATCTTCCGTTGACGTTTCGCTCAAGCTCCTTCCCTCCCCCCCTTGCTTTCACTCTATCTTTGCCAAGGTGTGTCCGAAATTTCAGTTGATGTCCGTGGCCGCCTACGGATCGGAGATCCGTGGCGGCAGCCTCTTGCGTCGGCAGCGTCTCGAAGCCTCGCCACCTGGCCTGCCCGAGCTGGAAAAAGGGAGCATGTGCATGCTCATGTGCTTGGCTTTCGTCAGGTCTACTATGTATGCCCTTTCCCTCCGGGCTGAGCCTCTCATCTCCAGCAGGGCCCACCCCTCTGCCACCGCCACCAGTGGCACCAGCTGCAGAAGCATGATCGTCTGGTTAGCGCGAGGACCACCAAATCAATATCTTCTGCTTCCCATCTGGCTGCCTACGCCCACGATCCACCGCTGCAAGCGTTCCTAGCATGCCAGGGAAACCTCAAGCGTGTTGAGGAGCAGAGCACGTGTCGCAGGCGAGGTTGGTGCAGCCGTAGGGTTGAGCACGACCTTGGCCTTGGACTTGCGTGGGTCGGCAGCCGAGGAGACCGAGCTCTGCGCCAGAACCCCGGCGAGCACCCGTTCACGAAGTCGGCGACGGCGCGCCGCGACGCACGCCGTGCTGGCCGCGGAGGGGCAGTGGAGGGGACAGGGGGCGCACACGCGCGCCCCAGCAGCTGCGGGGGCGGGCGAGCGCCGGAGCCGGAGCAGCTGCACGAGCGGAGGCGCGGAGAGAGAAGAGGGGCCGACGGGGAGCGCGATGCGGGCAGGGAGGGCGGCCCTCCCGCCGAGGGCCCGCCCCTCGAGCGGAGCGGGCGGGGGCACCCCGAGGCGGGGCGTCCTCCGAACCCTTCCGCCGGGGGGCGGGAGGTCCCCCCCTCGGCCCCCCCCCCTCGGGGCCCCGGCGAGCCCGGAGGCCCCCCTGGCGGCGAGCTGCAGCGCGCGGCGGCGAGCTGCTGCGCGCGAGGAGCGCGCCGCCCCCGCGGCCGGCGGCGCCGCGGGCGGCCAGCGGCTCGCGCTGCCCAGACGGGCCCAGGTCGGCCCCCGCCCCCCGCCTCTTTCGGGCCGAGCGAAACGCGGGGGATGGGGACAGGGGGGGGTCACGAGAGCTGCCGCGTGCAGCTGGTTTCAGCCCCACCGAGGGGCCCATTCCTCGACATCATGGGCGCCTCCCGGCGCCGGGAGGCGCCGGGAAGATCAGCTACGCGGGCCGATTCTCACCCCCCCTCTTTGCTATCCTATCCCCCCCTGTCGCCCGGCCCGACCCTTCTCTGTGACCCAGGTCTCCGGCGGCAAACACAGTCAAGACGCTGAAATGAGGACCAGCTTGGGCTCAGGAGTGGCTCTGGTATCCCCGTCGATGTGGTGGAAGCCAACGCATCTTCTTCGCAGAACAGGGTGGCAAGGCAAACGTCAAGGGGGGGGGCGCAGGAGGAGGAGGAGGAGGGGGAGGCGGAGCGACACGGAACGGAGGACTGGCGGCGGTTCGTATTCGTACAACAGTTTTTGCTTGTGTTCCGAAGCAGGACACGCTCGCCTTTTCTCAAACATGGTTTTCGGCGGGCTGGGGCCAGGCAAAGCAGGGGGACGGAGGAGTGGCGGCGGAGTTCGCATCGGCCAAACTCGTGCGCTCTTTGAGTGACGGATGCGCTGCCTGGCGATCTGCGGCGGGGGCGTGGTAGGGCGTGGAGGAGGGGCCACCGGGCGCCGATCCGATGCAGCTCTTGCGCAGGGCGTTCGAGGGGGGGATGCTCCTCCACCTCCTCCTTCTACTCCTCCTCCTCCTCCTCCTCCTCCTCCTCCTCCTCCTCCTTCTCCTCTTCCTGGGGGGCGGGGGGGGGCGCGGAGAGGGGGGGGGGAGGAGGGGGAGGGATGGGGCCGAGGAGGGCGGGGAGAGGCAGGGGGAATGCCAGTGGAGGGGCTGCTCCGGGAGCCGGGGGGGTGGAGGACGGAGGGGGGGGAAGCAGTTGGGAGGAGTTGGGGGGTGTGGGAGGAGGATGCTGGGGCGAGAAGGCTCCAAGCGGGAGGGAGGAACGACCAGCACACGTGGGCGAACAACGCTGGGCCAGGAAAGAAAAACCTTGCATGGATTCCCGCGAGATTCTGTATGCATTGTTCTACGCTGGGAAGTATCTGGGTTCAGGGGGGGGCAACGGGGGTAAACCCATGCGGAATCCGGGCGGAATTCAGACGAGAATCCATGCTGGGGGGTCGGGCGTCTTCTTTGGTGGCTTTTGGCCGCGCGCGCTCGCATAACAGGGGACCCGTGCGCTGTGCAGGTCTGCGCGCTTGGGTCTTGAAAAAGATCTTCCTACAGGCTGGCTTCCACGAGGAACGCGGGGATGGGGAGGGGGGAGAAAGGAATGACGCATGGAGTCTGAACCACACCCGCGCGCTGCCAGCTGGCGTTCCAACAGATCTTCTGGGAACCTCATGGGGGGGCTTCTGGGGGACACTGTGGGGCCTTCATGGGGCCGCTGCTATGGGCCCCCGAGGCCCCAGAGCCGACAGAAGATTCACGCAGCTGGTCCCCGACAAACGGCGCCATTTTTGGGCAGCTTTCCCTCACCCGCTGGAGCCCACAGCGCCCCCCTCCTGGGGCCTTCCCCGCCCCTCCGTTGGGGGCATCCCGTAGGTTCACCGCCGCCGTTCTCACGGGCTTCTGGGGCCCCGTGGCTCGGGCGCAGCCGGGGTCATCTTCCTCTGCCCACGAGGGTTCCCAAACTGCCTCAAGGGTGCTCGCAGAGGCTCCAAGAGCGCACCCAGAAAAGACTCGGGCGACGAGAACTATGCACATGCACTGATCCTGGCAAGGCCGATCCTTGACCCAGGATCGGTGCATATGCCTTCCTGGCCAAGGTAGGAGGGCGTATGCACCGATCCTGGGCTCAGGATGGGCCTGGCCAGAATCGGTGCATGTGCGTAGTTCTTTTTCCTCTATCTTCCTCTGTCCACGAGGGTTCCCAAACTGCCTCCAGGGTGCTCGCAGAGGCTCCAAGAGCCCCCCCCCCAACAAAAAAAACACAAAGGAGAAGCACGATGATCCCACGGCCGTAAGAGGAGCCCCAAGAGAGCCCAACAACCCGTCACGAACAAGGCCTTCTTCGTGACAGGTTGCCGACCGTTTCCGGGCCCCTCTCGAGGCACTCCGGGCCCCACTCGGGGCACCTCGGGCCCCCCCTCGGAGCCCTGTCGGACCGAAGCCACCCCCGGGCCCTGTTGAGGGCCCAAGCGGGCTCCAAGCGGCTTGCAAGGGGGCTCCAAGGGGGCTCCAAGAGGGCCCACCAAACCGTCACGAAAGAGGGCCTTCTTCGCGACAGGTTGCTGGCCTTTTCTGGAGCCCCCTTGAGGCCCTCCGAGGCCCTCTTGGGCCCCCCTTCGAGCCCCGTCGGGCCCCTTCCAAAGCCCCCACCGGGACCAATAAGACCCCCCCGAGAGGGCCATTCCAAAAACCCAGCAGACGCCCACGAGGGGCTTGATGCGTATCGTCCAAGGTGTGGTTCCCGGGTCGCGAGCTGCACTTTCCTTGTACCCCCCAGGAAGCTCCCGTCGGCCCCCAGAACGGTCTCGAGGCAGCCCGCAGAGGACCCCCCGAGAGGCCAGAGACGCACGCTTCAAGACGTGGCCTCTCCTGTACGGAGCACTTCCTTTCCGCCCCGCGCTCGCGGGGGCCCCGCGAGGGAGCCCGAGCAGGGCCCCGAGGAGTCCCCAGGGGGAGGCGATGCGCAGAGTTCAAAGCACGGTGCCCAGGGTTACAGACCGCGCTTCCACTCCTACGCCGAATGAGGTTCCAAGCGCCTCCGAGCAAGGTCCCGGGAGGTACCCGAAGGCCCTGGGACGGGGCCCGACGAGCACTGTTGCACGTGTGGCCTCCGTGAGCTTTGCTCTCGATTGTTCCTTGACAGGCCCCGAGACGCCGCACTTGTCGTTGGGTGTTCTGCTCGAGCAGATGATTGGGTTTTCGCCAGCGTGCAATGTTTGCGTTGCGATGTCGGCGTGGCCCGTGCGGGCGCGCGACGTGCTCCGCCGCTGCATGAACTGCAAGTGAATCTAACATGCCACAACAAGAAAGCAAGCAACACGACATCCATGCATCACGCCTGCACGCCTGCTCTGCCGACATTGTCTTGGAGTCGCTCCCAGAGAGCGTCAACACGGCCCAACGGAGCTCCGAAGGCCCCCCAGGGGGGGCCCCAGTGAGGCGCCCCGGCACCCGGAGGCACCCGGGAGCGCCCGAAGAGGCCCTGCGACGGCCCAAGAGGGCCCCACAGACAGCTCCAGGATGTCCCCCAACGGCCCAAGACAGCCCAAGATGGCGCCACGACGGCCTGAGAGAGCCCCGCCAGACCCCGAAGGCACGCCCAGATTGCCCAAGAGGACGCCAGTAGTTCCCACGAGGACCCCGACGGGCCCCCAAGCGATCCCCAGGATGCCCCCAGCTTCAAACGATCCCCCTTCCTCGACGTCCTTTTCCTCAGGCTCCTTACCGTCCTCCTTCGTCGTCGTCCTCCTCCTCCTCCTCCTCCTCCTCCTCCTCTTCGTTCGTCCTCGTACTCGGCTTCCTCCATCTCTTCCTCCTCGTCCTCGCGCTTGTTTTCCTAATCGTTGTCCTCCTGCTCCCCTCGCTGCCCTCCCCGTCATCCACGCTGTCATCCTCGTCATCCGCCGCCCTGTCGTCGCCACTTCCCTTTCCCCCCCCCTCCCCCTGCGGGCCCAATGGACGAAGTCGGCGCTGCCCGTTCTTGTCCAGTCAGGTTTCTATCGCTGAGTTTCTTTTATGATCTTCCCCTTTTTGTCCGTCCTGCCCCTTACCCTGATGGGTGTGTTTTCCACCACCACCACCATAGGTTGGAGGGGGAGGGGGTCCTCCTCCTCCTCCTCCTGCTCCTCCTCTTCGTCTTCCTCCTCCTCCTCCTCCTCCTCCTCCTCGTCCTCCTCCTCCCCCCCTCTAACTTATGGTGGTGGTGGTGGTGGAAAACATGCCCATCATACCCGTCCTCTCCCTTTTCCCTCCCCCCCTCCCCCTTCCTCTTCCCCGCGCTCCTCCTCGTAGCCCCTCCGCCGCGAGGCGGCAAGCGCGCCCCGGCCGCTGGGCGCCGCCCTCGGACGAGGACGGCAGTGGGATCCTCGTCTCCTTGCTCCGTCCGCACTCCTCCCCCCCGTCCTCCTCCTGCTCCTCCTCCTCCTCCTCCTCCTCCTCCTCCTCCTCCTCCTCCTCCTCCTCCTCCACGTCCTCCTCCTCCTCCTCCTCCACGTCCTCCTCCTCCTCCTCCTCTTTCTCCTCCTTCTCCTCCTCCACCTCCTCCTTCTCCTTACTCCATCCGCACTCCTCCCCCCCGTCCTCTTCCTGCTCTTCCTTCCTGCCCTCCCCCCGGGGAGGGAAACGGAAGCAAGAGCAGGACACCTTCCACCCGCTACTCTCTCAGTCTCCTCCCCCAAGGCCGCGGAGACGAGGCCGACAGGGGCGGTCGGCTTCACAGAAGCGTGCGGCCGCGCCGCCTGGCCGCAGCTCCGCCCAGGGCCGCCCCCTGGCGAGGCGGCCGCAGGCGTCGGGTTGGGGCGGCGTCCGGCCTGCTTGCCTCCGCCCTTGCTTGCTTGTCCAGCCTGGTCTTAGCCTTGATGTTTTGTTGCCACGCAGCCTGAACGCTGCGTCGATAAAGCCGCGCCGTTCACCACCATGTGTCCTCGCTCGCTCGCATGTGCGCTACGCCACCCGCCCACGATAAGTGTCATTTCGTCAGCGAAGCGGCAGAGTGGCATCCCGATTATCACCTCTTTCGTTCTCTGGGGAGGGGTGAGGGAGTGGGCGCGTGCATGCGATGATCATCATGCCTCGCGAGACGAAGCGATGATTTTCATGTTGTCTAAGGAGGGGGAGGAGGAGGAGCAACAGCAGAATGCGGAGGAGGAGGAGGAGGAAGAGGTGGAGGAGAAGGAGTTGGCCGTCTGAACCGGACCGCTGGGGCGCCGACCAGGGTAGGCGGGAGGCCGTCCTGAGGCTGACCTGAAGTCATTCATGTGAAAGTTGTCCGGGGTGGCCAGCCCAGAAAGATCGAACAACCAAGGGCACAGGGGGGACGCGCATCAAAAGGCCGCATGTGTTCCGTCAGGGCGCCCTGGGCTTGTTTTTGCTGATCATGCTGCGCGATGACGTCCCGCGGGCGTTCAACAAGCTGCTTCATTCAGGGTGCCTTGGGTTTTCCCCAATCGCCCCTCGCGTGCGGAGTTTCAGGGTCGGGTTTCTTGTGAGGGTCTCTTGCGGCCGCGACCGCTTGTGTTCTTTAGGGCCTGTTGGGGGCGCCTTGGGTCTCGCTTGGGTGCCGTCCGGGGTCGCGGGGTCCTCCTGGAAGGCCGTGATGCCGTCAGGGGAGGCATTCGTATTGTAGCCGTCGGGGGAGGAAGACGAGGAAGCCGTGAGGCCAATTCGGCCCTTCTAAGGCACGTTTGGGACAGGTATTGGGCTGTCGTGGGTCCAGCCACTTGTGGGCGGAGGAGCTGTCGGGCTTTCCATCCCTGGTGATGTGTATTGAACAAATTGTGGTTGGACATATCCCAAATTGGTTTGAGGGAGTTTCTGTGGAACTCACGTCATCCTCACCCCCGGCGCGAAGAGCACGAGCCCAGAGCGGCCTCCGGCACCGTTTCCTGACGGATCCGCTGGATCCGCTGGATCCGCTGGATCCGGTGACGAATCCCAAACCGGCGCCCTCGCCTGAGACATCCTCACAAAACGGGCCCCGGGGGGGATGCCCAGAGGAGCCCAGAGCGGCCTCCGGCACCGTTTCCGGACGGATCCGCTGGATCCGCTGGATCCGGTGACGAATCCCAAACCGGCGCCCTCGCCTGAGACATCCTCACAAAACGGGCCCCGGGGGGGATGCCCAGAGGAGCCCAGAGCGGCCTCCGGCACCGTTTCCGGACGGATCCGCTGGATCCGCTGGATCCGCTGGATCCGGTGACGAATCCCAAACCGGCGCCCTCGCCTGAGACATCCTCACAAAACGGGCCCCGGGGGGGATGCCCAGAGGAGCCCAGAGCGGCCTCCGGCACCGTTTCCGGACGGATCCGCTGGATCCGCTGGATCCGCTGGATCCGGTGACGAATCCCAAACCGGCGCCCTCGCCTGAGACATCCTCACAAAACGGGCCCCGGGGGGGATGCCCAGAGGAGCCCAGAGCGGCCTCCGGCACCGTTTCCGGACGGATCCGCTGGATCCGCTGGATCCGGTGACGAATCCCAAACCGGCGCCCTCGCCTGAGACATCCTCACAAAACGGGCCCCGGGGGGGATGCCCAGAGGAGCCCAGAGCGGCCTCCGGCACCGTTTCCGGACGGATCCGCTGGATCCGCTGGATCCGGTGACGAATCCCAAACCGGCGCCCTCGCCTGAGACATCCTCACAAAACGGGCCCCGGGGGGGATGCCCAGAGGAGCCCAGAGCGGCCTCCGGCACCGTTTCCGGACGGATCCGCTGGATCCGCTGGATCCGCTGGATCCGGTGACGAATCCCAAACCGGCGCCCTCGCCTGAGACATCCTCACAAAACGGGCCCCGGGGGGGATGCCCAGAGGAGCCCAGAGCGGCCTCCGGCACCGTTTCCGGACGGATCCGCTGGATCCGCTGGATCCGGTGACGAATCCCAAACCGGCGCCCTCGCCTGAGACATCCTCACAAAACGGGCCCCGGGGAGGATGCCCAGAGGAGCCCAGAGCGGCCTCCGGCACCGTTTCCGGACGGATCCGCTGGATCCGCTGGATCCGGTGACGAATCCCAAACCGGCGCCCTCGCTGAGACATCCTCACAAAACGGGCCCCGGGGGGGATGCCCAGAGGGCCCAGAGCGCTCCGGCACCGTTTCCGGACGGATCCGCTGGATCCGCTGGATCCGCTGGATCCGGTGACGAATCCCAAACCGGCGCCCTCGCCTGAGACATCCTCACAAAACGGGCCCCGGGGGGGATGCCCAGAGGAGCCCAGAGCGGCCTCCGGCACCGTTTCCCGGATCCGCGGATCCGCTGGATCCGCTGGATCCGGTGACGAATCCCAAACCGGCGCCCTCGCCTGAGACATCCTCACAAAACGGGCCCCGGGGGGGATGCCAGAGGAGCCCAGAGCGGCCTCCGGCACCGTTTCCGGACGGATCCGCTGGATCCGCTGGATCCGGTGACGAATCCCAAACCGGCGCCCTCGCCTGAGACATCCTCACAAAACGGGCCCCGGGGGGGATGCCCAGAGGAGCCCAGAGCGGCCTCCGGCACCGTTTCCGGACGGATCCGCTGGATCCGCTGGATCCGGTGACGAATCCCAAACCGGCGCCCTCGCCTGAGACATCCTCACAAAACGGGCCCCGGGGGGGATGCCCAGAGGAGCCCAGAGCGGCCTCCGGCACCGTTTCCGGACGGATCCGCTGGATCCGCTGGATCCGCTGGATCCGGTGACGAATCCCAAACCGGCGCCCTCGCCTGAGACATCCTCACAAAACGGGCCCCGGGGGGGATGCCCAGAGGAGCCCAGAGCGGCCTCCGGCACCGTTTCCGGACGGATCCGCTGGATCCGCTGGATCCGGTGACGAATCCCAAACCGGCGCCCTCGCCTGAGACATCCTCACAAAACGGGCCCCGGGGGGGATGCCCAGAGGAGCCCAGAGCGGCCTCCGGCACCGCCCAGAGGAGCCCAGAGCGGCCTCCGGCACCGTTTCCGGACTGGATCCGCTGGATCCGCTGGATCCGGTGACGAATCCCAAACCGGCGCCCTCGCCTGAGACATCCTCACAAAACGGGCCCCGGGGGGGATGCCCAGAGGAGCCCAGAGCGGCCTCCGGCACCGTTTCCGGACGGATCCGCTGGATCCGCTGGATCCGGTGACGAATCCCAAACCGGCGCCCTCGCCTGAGACATCCTCACAAAACGGGCCCCGGGGGGGATGCCCAGAGGAGCCCAGAGCGGCCTCCGGCACCGTTTCCGGACGGATCCGGTGGATGGATCCGCTGGATCCGGTGACGAATCCCAAACCGGCGCCCTCGCCTGAGACATCCTCACAAAACGGGCCCCGGGGGGGATGCCCAGAGGAGCCCAGAGCGGCCTCCGGCACCGTTTCCGGACGGATCCGCTGGATCCGCTGGATCCGGTGACGAATCCCAAACCGGCGCCCTCGCCTGAGACATCCTCACAAAACGGGCCCCGGGGGGGATGCCCAGAGGAGCCCAGAGCGGCCTCCGGCACCGTTTCCGGACGGATCCGCTGGATCCGCTGGATCCGCCGACGAATCCCAAACCGGCGCCCTCGCCTGAGACATCCTCACACAACCGGCCCCGGGGGAGGTGCCCAGAGGAGCCCAGAGCGGCCTCCGGCACCGTCCCCGACAGATCCGGTGGATCCGGTGGATCCGCCGACGAATCCCAAACCGGCGCCCTCGCTTGAGACATCCTCACAAAACCGGCCCCGGGGGAGGTGCCCAGAGGAGCCCAGAGCGGCCTCCGGCACCGTTTCCGGACAGATCCGTGGATCCGCTGGATCCGCTGGATCCGGTGACGAATCCCAAACCGGCGCCCTCGCTTGAGACATCCTCACAAAACCGGCCCCGGGGGAGGTGCCCAGAGGAGCCCAGAGCGGCCTCCGGCACCGTTTCCGGACAGATCCGGTGGATCCGCCGACGAATCCCAAACCGGCGCCCTCGCTTGAGACATCCTCACAAAACCGGCCCCGGGGGAGGTGCCCAGAGGAGCCCAGAGCGGCCTCCGGCACCGTTTCCGGACAGATCCGGTGGATCCGGTGACGAATCCCAAACCGGCGCCCTCGCTTGAGACATCCTCACAAAACCGGCCCCGGGGGAGGTGCCCAGAGGAGCCCAGAGCGGCCTCCGGCACCGTTTCCGGACAGATCCGCTGGATCCGGTGGATCCGCCGACGAACCCCAAACCGGCGCCCTCGCTTGAGACATCCTCACAAAACCGGCCCCGGGGGAGGTGCCCAGAGGAGCCCAGAGCGGCCTCCGGCATCGTTTCCGGACAGATCCGCTGGATCCGGTGGATCCGCCGACGAATCCCAAACCGGCGCCCTCGCTTGAGACATCCTCACAAAACCGGCCCCGGGGGAGGTGCCCAGAGGAGCCCAGAGCGGCCTCCGGCACCGTTTCCGGACAGATCCGGACAGATCCGGTGGATCCGCGCCCTGGGGGAGGTGCCCAGAGAGGAATGAGGAGGAGGAGGAGGAGGAGGAGGAGGAGGAGGAGGAGGAGGAGGAGGAGGAGAGGGAGGAGGGAGGAGGAGGAGGAGGAGGAGGAGAAGATGATGGAGCTGCGGGGGGGGTGGAGGACAGACGGAGGCAAGAGAAGGATGGAGGAGGAGGAGGAGGAGGAGGAGGAGGAGGAGGAGGAGGCTTCTCATCCTCACCCTCGCCAACAGGCGCACGCACCTTCTTCTATATACAGAAACTCCCGATCAACCGCAGAGCGGCCGGCTAGTAAACCTACTGGGGGGCCGATCGTTGCTTCGCAAGAGGCGACGGCCGCTCACAAGAACAACAGGGGGGCCGAGGTACGCGTACAGCCACAAGCGCGGTGGTGGAATTGAAAGGGCACCGCAGGTTCTCCCTCGCTTCAAGGAGTCCCTTGGCGCGACCTCGTGCAATTTGCGAGGGTGCGCGCGATGGTTTCGGGGCACGTGCCTTGCGCGAATGCCGCGGGCACGAGGCGAAAAAAACGACGATCCTGCCACTCTCTGTTTTCTTCGCCCCTCGCCCCGTCGCTCTCCCTTCCCCCCCCCTTCACAGCTCTCGGCGCTCCCTTCACGGCTGGAGCAGCCGCAGGCGTGCCGCGCAGGGTCGGACCTAAACGGCGTTTTGGCGATTCCGTGGGCCGTTTTCGTTTCGGCTTCGTCTTTCGGTAAAGGCGGATTGGAGACAAAACGAGGGAAAACGACAACACAACGAGAGCGAACAACACCGTTTAGGTTCAGCCCGGGTGTCGCGCATGCATGCGTGCTGTCCGTTTCGGAGGCCGCTTCTGCGGAGCACCATTGTGTTCCTGCTGCTCCTCCCGACTGTACCCCTTGCGCGAGCAAGGCAATGCAGCAGGGCAATACAGCGGGCACGGGAGGGGCTTGCAAAGCCCCTCCGCCTGAGGAGGATGGGCACGAGCACGCTCCTGCCAAACGTGCTGCGGCCCGCGCAGAGCGCTTCGCTTCTTCTGCTGACAGCTCCGGGGGCAGGAGCGAGGGCAGGGCCAAACACCCGAGTGCTGAGACTTGACGCTGACCCGCGTCCAAATCAAACCACTCCCCTCTCCCTCCTCTCCCTTCACCGTCACAATGCAACAACATGAAGACTACTATCCTCTCTCCCCCGATTCCACCCAGAAGATGGCGGGCCTTTCCCGCGGGCTATCTGTTGTCGGATTTCAAAGCGTGATGCTTCTTATGTTGCTTTTGTAATCCCATTGCGTTCGGTACTTCAAGATGGTGCTGCCGCTTCAGCGTGGGCCTCCTTTTCGGATCGGCGCGTTGTTCGCGTCGTTCAGAATGGCGCTCTCGCCCCAGCGCGGGCCATTTTCTGGATCGGAGTCTCTCTTTCATCGTTGCCCCTCCCTCAACTCCCCTCCTCCGCATCTTCCCCTGACCCTCCTGCTCCTCCCGCTCCTTCCACTGCGATTCCTGCTCCTTCCGGTCGTCCTCGTCGTTGTCCTCCCGCCCATCAGCCTGCTCGCCCGCCACCTTCTCTTCCTGTGCACGCAGCTCCCCTCTTCCGATGTTGCATGACACGATTTGGTCAAGTTGTTGGAGTTGCAGGGCGGCTATTTCTGTTAGCCCGCGGCCGCGAGAAGTCCAAGCAGCTTTCGGTAATGCACCTGGGGTGTAGGCAGACGAACTGCGCACAGGGCGGAGGAGCGCAGGGGAATGGTTGGCCAGAGGGCGGCCCGGGGGGCGGGGGAGGCCACGCTCAGGCCATTCAAACCTTGCGCGCGTGTGCCGGCGTGCAGGAATAGTACGAGGTCGAAGACCTTGAACGTGTCGGCCATGACACGCGTCCGCGGAGGGAGAGAAGCAGTCGGCGCAGCGGGAAGGGATGGGAGGGAGGGACAGGATGTCAAGTGAGGCGCGAGCGCTCTCCCTCCTCTCCCCCCTCTCCACCGTCCTTCGTCCTCTTCCTTGCCCACCTCCTCCCGCGGGCCCAAGTCTGCGTCCCGATGAGGCGCCTGCGGCCCCGCTGCGCCAGCAGCGCCCGTGGGCGCCCCGCAGGATCGCGGGGCACCGGCGGCGAGTCGCCCGCGCCCCGCGGCGCGCCCGGGCCGGCACGGCAGCACACCTCTCTGCAGCCCTCTCCCTCTCCTCCTCCTCCTCCTCCTTATTCTTCTCCTCATCCTCCTCCTCCTCCTCTTTCTGCTCATCCTCCTCCTCCTCCTCCTCCGCCTCCTCCTCCTCCTTCTGCTCCTCCTCCTCCTGCTCCTCCTCGTCGTCGTCCTCCTCCTCCTCCTCCTCCTCCTCCTCCTCCTTTCCCCCTACCCAGGTCGTGGTCGCCAGATCCAAGAGGAGGGGGGGGGTCCTGGAGGTGTTCCGTCGTCCTCGGGCGCCCGGGGCTCTGCCAGGGCCTCGGGGTCGTCGCAGAGCGAGCCAGAGGAGCCAGTTCCACGGAAGGGCCCGTGTCCAGGACCCTCGAGGACCAGTGTTTTGTAGTGTCTATCTCTGTTTTGGGTGGAAGCGGGCACGGGCGATCTCGGAACAGCTCTTGCTGGTTGTTGGTCGCACGGCCACGGTTTCGGTGGCGTGTTATTGCCACGCGTTGGTACGAGCTTCTCTTCCCGTTGCTCCCGTTCCTCCTTCCTTTTTTCCGTTTCCCCTTCCCCCCCTGCCCGCCTCAACCGCTGTCCCTGACTCCTCTCCCCCCTCCCTTCCTGTCGGACCACTTCTTTCCGTTGCGACGAGCTGCGGAGATGGGAAGGGATGTCGGGGAGCTCCCAGTCAGGGTGGAGAAGGCGCCACAGGCTTATTGCAAGAGGACAGATAGACACTGACACAAATGATCGTCGACGCGCAGGAATTATGGGAAGTGGGGTAGGGGAAGATGGACATGCGAGAAATATTGTAACACATCGGGAATCCTGGGGGTGCGTGTGTCTAGTTATTTGTGTGCGTGTTTGTCCTTGGGCCCCGTCAGTGTTGTTGACCCAGATCCTGTTGGACGTTTTTTGTTGTCCAGGCCGGGAGCGGATACCCGCCAAGGCCTGTGCCCTGGGCCCACACACAGGGCGTGCGGAGGCGTTGTGGTGTCGGACGTTGATCCCGCCTACCCCTCTCGCTTTCTCTCTCTCTCTCTCTCTATATATATATTTCCCTTTCCTTCTCTTCATGGGCGAAAGTGTGACGTACACGTACACAGTAGATTTCTGGCGATATTTGTGCGCCCTGCCTTCTTTTTCAACCTTCCATATGCCCCGTGCCCTCTCATCCATAGCCTTTGAGCCCGTGTTGACTGACCCCGTTTCCTTCCAGATCCCTGCAGAACACCAGTGGTCAACCCATGATTATATTCTTCTTCGACATCCCACGTTCTTTCGTGCGAGTGCGTACGAGTCATCACCATCGTCATCGCTGTGAGAGGTAGCGGAGCGAATCACGAGTCCACGGACCAAGTAAATGCCGTCCAACCACGTGCCGGGTGAAGAGGGACGTAGAGGGTGAAGAGCCAAGCGGTAGCGGCTGCCGAGATCGTGATATTCCACCAGGTTTGGATGGCCGTAGCCCAGAATGCACATACCGTCGTTGGAAGAAGGAACTCACGTTGTGGTGCAGTAAGACCGACATTCAAAAAAAATGAGATGATAACGAAAGTACCGCGGAAGTTGTCAGGCACGGCCACGGAGGCGATCTCAGGCATGGGGCGAGAGGACATCATCGAACAAAAACGTTTGCAACACATACTACGTATTCTCGATGAGGCTTTCGCGCCGCACCTCGAACAGACGATGCCCTGAGCTTTCGAGAATGCTGGGTTACAAAGTTGTAGCAGCGACCTGGTTCAATGAGCGGAAGCACGAGGGAGTTCAGCTGCACGCGGAGGCGCGGAGCTGCATCATGGTGCGACACGAGAAGGGCGAAACCATGATCAAAACGTGGGCGGCGGGCAGCTTCGCCGAGTCCGAGCTGATTTAGGCCCTGCGGCGCAAGGTCGACAAAATCATGGTGGACAGGATCGACCGACAGTTTTTCGGCAACGACGAATCAGTGAGTTCCCCGGCCGTGGATTCCGAGTAGGACGATGACGACCCCATTCTCGCTTATATCATGCAGGGCGACCTGTTGGAGGTGCACGATGGGGCTGGTGTACTCACAGCTTAGGAGTCGTACCCAGCGGCAAGGCAGTCGCTGAAATCGGATATGAGCAGGCGTGGATCCCACAAGGGCGGAAGCAAGGGCGGCAAGGACGATGGAGCAGGCAAGGACGGTTTCCCACCACCTCCCTAGTGGCTCGCTGTGGAGCCAGCAAGCGTTGCAAGGACGGTCATGGGCGCACATCGAGGACACGCGTCGACTTGATCAAGCCGCGGACCAAGTGCGCTCGTTGTGCCCAGATGAGCCACTGGGCCAAGGAGTCCACAAACTCGCCCGATGCACGCGGCGCAGCAGCCGCCGCGTCCAGGTTGACCAGAACACGAATGCGAGCGAGGGGGTGCACGAGCGAGCGGCAGCAGCGAGATGTCTCAATCTTGGCGTGGGCTTGCCCCGGGGGGTGGGGGGGGGCCTCGGTGGGCCAGTCGGGCCCGATGCGACGGCGCCGCGACGGCTGGAGGGTGCCCTTCGTGCAAGGGGATTGCGGGCGCAGCGGTTCAAACAGGCCAGCCTGGGCCCTGTGGGTCATTTGGCGAGCGTGGGCGGTGGGGGCCATGCTTGTCCCATTCGGCCCAAGTGAATCGCATGGCCTCTTGAAGCTCACTGCGGTGGAATGGGTGCGTTCCAATGTTGCTCCCAGCCAAGAATCTTCGGATCGAGCTCCCGTAGATCTGGACTGGTTCATGTGAAGTTGGCGCGATCTGTGCGAAGTCAGAGACTCCCACGGGAAAGGTGGACGAGTGTCGCGCGGCAGAATCAGTTGTAGACTTCCGCCCCGATGGTCGGGCTGCGCCTCCGGTGGGTCGATGGTTCAGAACGGCGGACTTCAGCATCGTCGGCAGCGGTTCGAGTCGAGGCGACCCCGTCGCTCGCCAGGACAACCAGTTTTCCAGCGCTTCCATATCTACGCGAAGTGCAGACATCCCTGGGCCGAGCGCAGACCCCGGGGCGGCGGGCGCGGGCGCGCGTCGCCTCGGCGGCGGTGCTCTCGGCGCCCGCGCGGCCGCTTGCGGGGCAGTTCTGCGCGCCCCGCCCTGGGGCCCGCGTCGGGCGGGGGGGGGCGGCGAGGAGGGCGGCGAGAGGGGGGTCTACGCGGACCCGGGGTGGCCGCGGCAGCAGATGCGGTCGCGGGCAGTGGCGTCGGCAGCAGGGGCGCTTGGCGCAGCGAGTCTGGAGACCAAGCCGACGTGCGGCTCATCGAGTCCAGTGGTCTTTCCAGAATGGCAGGCAGTCGGGCGCCAATACAAGGGATCCAACTGGAATGAGATAAGTGCTCAGCGGCGCTGCGCGACGGACCCAGACATTCAGAGATACGGCGAGCATTGCCGCGGGTGCCTGACCGGCGCGCGCAAGTGCACGGGGTGGAGGGCGCCCCCCGAGATTTGCAAGCGTTGGCAGTGGATCCGCGGCCGCCCCGCGAATCGGACGAGCGGCCAGTTCCTGCGTTTCGTGATCGAACGTCGTCATCTTCTGCATGCAGTGGAGGGCATGGGCGGCGCAGCTGTTGCCATGCCATGCGCCCGCCTTGCGCGGAGACCGCTTGAGGAAGGGGCCCGTGGCCGAGATGCCCTTGGCCAAGGAGCAGGTTCGCGCGCTGAAGAGGCCGGGTGGTGAGCGCGGAGGGAGCGTTCGGAGCGCTCGACTCGAGGCCGACCACGAGCGTTCCACGACCGCCCAGTGCGACGCCATGGGCGGCAGGCGCGAGCGAGCGCCAACGCGTCGCGGAGACGGCGCCGGCGCCAGAGAGGCAGCGCGGCCGCGACAAGGAAGAGGACGCGATGGAGCGCGACCAAGCGGGCGGCTGATGGTCCGGCGGCGAGGCGCGATTGACCATCGCCCTCAGGAGCCATGCCGAATGCTGAAGTGGAGGCAGCGGGAGGCGGCTGAGCGCCAAATGCTTGGAAACGGGGCAGCGCGGATCACCCGCGAGAAGCTCAAGTAGGCGATGGCGACGCAGCAGGACCGCATCTACACGGTCGGGTCAAAGTGGCGGGAGCTGCGCAGCCAGCCGCGCGTTCCAGGAGCGGGGCGAGCGCCTTTCGGACGAGCTGAACGGAATGGTGATTTTGGCGACTTGGGATGTCGAAGATGAGAGTGAGGGGGCCGAGCGGCCATTCATTGTTCTTGGGTGCGTGTCTGAATTGAGAATCCATGCGGGGCGGGGCGGGGGGGGGGATGGGGATTTTTCCTTGCGTTGTTGTTGCTTTTGTTGTTGATGTTGTTGTTGTTTGTCGTCGTCCCTCCCCGCGACCCACCCGCGACCCACCCCGCGATCCGCCGCGCGACCCGGCCCGCGACCCGCCCGCGACCCACCCGCGACCCAACCCGCGACCCACCCGCGACCCACCCCGCGACGCACTCGCGACCCACCCGCGACCCACCCGCGACCCACCCCGCGACCCGCCCGCGACCCACCCCGCGACCCATCCGCGACCCACCCGCGTCCCAGTTGCGACCCACTTGCGACCCGCCCGCGGCCCACCGCGACCCATCCGCGACCCGCCCGCGACGCCCGCGATCGATCCACATTGGTTTGAAGAAAAATCGGCGCCTGCGGCGGGTTCGTTGCACATTTCGGTGGAACTTTGGCCCCTGCGGCGGGCTTCTCCAGAGCCTCGCAGACTGCCGCCGCCCCCGCCGCCCCATCACTCTTATCCGCATCTGCGGGGTGCTACGTAATTTCGATTTTTTTTTTCGACGGGGGGGCAAGGCGCGCGATTCGGCGCGCCATGCGCCGGGCGTCAAGGTCGCAGAGGAATTCTTTATGCCTCGAGCGCTGGAAGCACTGCAGCGGCATGGATTTGTTGGCGGAATGGCGTTTAACATTCAGACTTCAGACGGGCTGGAGCTATGGTCGAGTTCAGGACAGCGCAGACTGCGCTGCCCCGTTCTCGGCCTCATGGGCGGGAGCT